AGTTCAAAGCTCCAATTGCAACAGATATTCCTACATTCAACGGATATTATTCCAAATTCACATAATTCACATACTTAAGCTTCCAAATTGATATCAAACACATAATCACACGTATAGTTAAGTATAAGACGGGTTGGGTTATCACAGTTTTCCCCTCTTTAGGAAGTTTGGTCCTCTAAACTTATTTACCTCAAGTCGAAAACAATTCTGGATATCGTTGCCTCATTTATTCTTCCCGTTCCCAAGTGGCTTCACTTCCGTCGTGTTCTTTCGATTTGACCTTTACCATTGGGATAGTCTTGTTCTTTAGTTGCTTGACTTGCCAATCAAGAATTCAAAGAGGTTTCTCCTCATAAACCATATCGTCATCTAGCATAATTTGATGATAATCAATAACATGAGAAGGGTCCCGAGGGTAGCCTTTGCAACATTTATACGTAGAACACATTGTGCACTTACTCCATGCTTGGTAGTAAAGCAATCCGATAGGCAACCAGACCTAATCTTTCTAAAATCTGAAATGGCCCTCTGTACCTGGGTGACAATTTCCCTTTCTTTCCAAATCTTGCGAGCCTTTTCATTGGGGTGACTTTGACAAAAACATGATCTCCAACTTCAAACTCTAAGTCTCTCATTCTTTGATCCGTATAACTCATTTTTCGGCTTTGAGACATTTTTAATTTCTGTTAGATGATTGATCTAAATCTTATCCATAGTAACTTGTACAATTTTAGGCCCCATTAACAATCTATCCCCATCTTCGGTCCAGCAAATTGGAGTCTGACATTTTCTTCCATACAAAGCTTCATATGGTGCTATCCCGATACTGGAGTGGAAACTGCTGTTATATGCAAATTCCGCTAAAGGTAAATGAGTTTCCCAACTTTCACGAAAATTTAAAACACACATCTGGAGCATATCCTCCAACATCTGTATAGTTCTTTCAGATTGTCGATCGGTTTGTGGGTGAAATGTGGTACTAAACCTCAATTTCGTCCCCAATGCTTTTTGTTAGCTTTGTTAAAATCTCGACACAAACTTAGAATCTCTATCCAACACAATGGAAACTGGAACACCTTGCAATCGAATAATTTCGACAATGTACATAATAGCAAGTCTATTAGCATTATAAATAGTCTTCACAGGCAAAAAGTGAGCAGACTTAGTTAATCTATCCACAATGACCCAAATGGAATCCATATATCGAGGTGTTCAGGGTAAGCCCATAATAAAATCCATAGTTATGTGCTCTCACTTCCATTCCGGAATAGAGAGAGGTTGAAGTAAGCATGTTGGTCTTTAATGTTCCGCTTTCACTTGCTGACATTGAAGGCATCTTGAGATAAACTCTGCAATTTCCCTCTTCATATTAGGCCACCAAAAAGCTTGCTTGAGATCTTGATACATTTTGGTATTTCTGATATGCATAGCAAATCTAGACTTATGAGCTTCTTCGAAGACTCTTTCTTTAATTTCTGGGACATTTGGAACACACAATCTTCCCTTGAACTTTAACACTTGAGCTTCCAAAAAGAATCTTGATCTTAGCTTTGTTTCCAGCTTATCATGCATTTTTTTGAGAAATTCATCCTCTAATTGCCTTTGTTTAACCGCCATTGTGACTAACATTCCACCTCGTTCATGTAGTACAATTTTCACTTCCATTTTTTCCAAGTCAAGTAATAGTTCATTTTTTTCCGTCAGCGAACATGCTAGATTTCCTGTTGACTTTCTACTAAGGGCATCTGCTACCATGTTGGCTTTGCCGGGATGATAATGAATCTACAAGTCATAATCTTTGATAAGTTCTAATCACCGTTTTTGCCACATATTAAGCTCCTTTTCAGTAAAGAAATACTTGAGGCTTTTGTGGTCGGTGTAGACTTTACACGTTGCTCCATAAAGATAATGCCGTCATATTTTCAATGTAAACACCACTATAGCTAATTCCAAATCCTGCGTAGGGTAATTCTTTTTATGTGACTTCAATTGTCGAGATGCATACGCAATTACTCTTCCATTTTGCATAAGTACACACCTCAATCCTTTATGAGAAATATCACTATAAATGACAAACCCTTTTGTACTTGACGGTAAGGCAAGGGCCAGTGCTGTTGTGAGCCTTGTTTTCAATTCTTGGAAGGCGGATTCCCTCTGTCCTGTCCACTCAAATCAACACCTTTTTAAGTCAACTGAGTAAGCGACACCGCAATCTTGGAGAAGTCTTTAACAAATCTTCGGCAGTAGCCTGCTAAACCCACAAAACTGTGTACTTCTATAACATAAGTAGGAGCAAGCCAATTCACAATAGCTTTTATCTTTTGAGGATCAATAGACACACCATCTTTGTTAATCACATGCCCCAAAAACACAATTTCATTCAACCAAAATTCACATTTCTTCAGTTTAGCACATAACTTCTTGTCTCTAAGTGTTTGAAGAATTAATCTCAAATGTTTTTCATGTTCTCTGATACTATTCGAATAAATGAGGATATCATCAATGAATACTACCACAAACTCATCCAAATACGGTTTGAAAATTCGATTCATTAGATCCATAAAAGCTGCTGGTGCATTCGTAACCCCAAATGGCATGACTTAAAATTCATAATGGCCATACTTGGTTCAGAAGGCAGTCTTCTCAACATCCTCTGCTTTGACTTTTAATTAAGGGTACCCGGATCTGAAATCAATCTTAGAAAACACTTGCGCCCCCCTATAATTGATCGAACAAGTCATCAATTCGAGGTAAAGGATATTTATTCTTCACAATTACCTTATTAAATTCTCAGTAATCAATACATAAACGGAGGGTCCCATCTTTCTTAATGGGTGCACCCTACGGCAATGTACTCGATCAGATGAACCCTTTATCAAGCAACTCTTGCAGCTGTATTTTCAATTCCTTCATTTCTGTCAGAGACATTTTGTACGGAGCTTTGAAATCGATTGAGGACCTAGCACAATATCAATAACAAATTCAATCTCACAATCTATCAAATCCCCCAGTAATTCCCCAGGAAATATATCCGGAAACTCACTAACAATCGGTATATTTTCAATACTCACATCGGGTGTCTCTACATGAAAAATACTAAATACTACACAAATAACCCTTACAACCTTTCTGAAGTAGTTTACAAGCTTTCATAGTCGAGATCAAATAGGGTGAAGGGCCATGTCCCACAAAAGTAAACTCATCATTTCCTGGTGGGTGGAAAATAACTTGTTTGGACACACAATCAATGGTTGCATGATACTTAACTAACCAATCCATTCCCAAAATTATATCAAAGTGTACCATATCAAGGGGCATCAAATTAGCACATAATGGAATATCTCCAAGTAAGAGCTAATATGCAGGATAAATAGAAGCACATAGCATATAGTCCTTAGATGGGAGAGACACACTCAAAACATAATTCAAGGGTTCCATAAATCTATCCAAATTAGGAGCAAATATTTTTGAAACAAATGAATAAGTGGAACCTGAATTAAGTAGCACATGAGCAGGTTGGCCATTAATAGAAAGTGTAACTGAAACACAACATCTGAATTCTGAACATCACTCAGAACAAGATGAAAGACTCCCTTGCCTAACATTGTCTCTAACAATTATAGGCCTTGCTGAGGTCTTCATTGCAGGGGTGGAATTAGCTGAACTGGCAATTGGTCCATTTCCCTTTTGTTTCCTGAACACATGGCAATCTCTCACCATATGTCCCGTTTTCCCACACTTAAAGCAAGCCTCGATTGCTCGGTAACAAACTCCTCGATGCTTCTTTCCACACTCAGAGCAAGTTGGTGCTGAATCGTGGGCATAACCCAAAACATTGGAAGTTCCCAAATTTTGCTTCTTATTTTGTGAGGATGTCGACCCTTTATATCCATGAGAACCCTGTCTTTTTCCCTTCCGATCCAAGTACCAGTTGTGATTAGCCTAATTACCTTCTGACATGATGGCCCTATCCAAAACATCCACATATTTATGCAACTTCAACACATTGATCTTTTCAAGAATAGAGTCTCGGAGTCCTCTCTGAAACTTTCTCGCCTTCTTATAGTCTGTATCAACCATGTATGATGTGAAACAGGCTAGCTTGGTGAATTTTACTTCATACTCCGCTACAGTTTTGTTGCCTTGCTTCAAGTTTTCAAACTCCGTCACCTTCCTGTCTTGAATACATTGTGGAAAATACTTCTCATAAAAGACCTCCAAAAATTGAGCCCAATTTATCCCTTGATGTTCAGCTCGAACAAGCATCCACCAATGGCGTGCTTTATCCTCAAGTGTAAAAGTAGTAAGCAAGACTTTTTGTGCCTCCGTGCATGGAAAGACCTCAAACAATTTCTCTATACCAAGTACCCATGCCTGCGCCTTCAGTGGATCAATTCCTCTCTTGAACAATGGCGGTTTCAACTTTTTAAATTCCTTTGTTAGTGAAATAGTTCGGTCGTTAGCTTGTTGGTCTTGTACTACCGGTGGTGGCGTAGGCATTGGTGGCGGTGGTTGTTGTTGTTACTGTTGCTATCTAAAAGCCTCTGCCATGTCTATGATCATTGCCTCCATTCTATTAAGTCGTGCATAGGTTGAATCCTCCCCACCTTCTTCCCTTGTTCTCACCATGATATAGAGGAACATACATTATAACTTTCACAAATAATATGCACATAAGACATGTTAATGCACATTTTCATGTCATACTTGATTATAAATGCATTATGGATGTAACTTAGACGTTTTCTAAACTCCTTATTGCTCAATGGACTCATATGTAAGATATTAACTCGTACTCTGATACTACTTTGTCATGACCCAAACTCGCCCCTAAAAGTATAGATCATAACTAGCCAGTAATCACTTGATTACCTTCGCCCTCATACAAACATATAAAGTAAATCTAATAATGGGGCCATAAACGGAAGCATACAACAAAAGAGAAGTCCATTGAACTATGCCAGTATGAGCAAAATTATAAAGTTAACCTCATAGCATATTCACGTCATCCCCAGTAATTCCCCAGGAAATATATCCGGAAACTCACTAACAATCGGTATATTTTCAATACTCACATCGGGTGTCTCTACATGAAAAATACTAAATACTACACAAATAACCCTTACAACCTTTCTGAAGTAGTTTACAAGCTTTCATAGTCGAGATCAAATAGGGTGAAGGGCCATGTCCCACAAAAGTAAACTCATCATTTCCTGGTGGGTGGAAAATAACTTGTTTGGACACACAATCAATGGTTGCATGATACTTAACTAACCAATCCATTCCCAAAATTATATCAAAGTGTACCATATCAAGGGGCATCAAATTAGCACATAATGGAATATCTCCAAGTAAGAGCTAATATGCAGGATAAATAGAAGCACATAGCATATAGTCCTTAGATGGGAGAGACACACTCAAAACATAATTCAAGGGTTCCATAAATCTATCCAAATTAGGAGCAAATATTTTTGAAACAAATGAATAAGTGGAACCTGAATTAAGTAGCACATGAGCAGGTTGGCCATTAATAGAAAGTGTAACTGAAACACAACATCTGAATTCTGAACATCACTCGGAACAAGATGAAAGACTCTCCCTTGCCTAACATTGTCTCTAACAATTATAGGCCTTGCTGAGGTCTTCATTGCAGGGGTGGAACTAGCTGAACTGGCAATTGGTCCATTTCCCTTTTGTTTCCCGAACACATGGCAATCTCTCACCATATGTCCCGTTTTCCCACACTTAAAGCAAGCCTCGATTGCTCGGTAACAAACTCCTCGATGCTTCTTTCCACACTCAGAGCAAGTTGGTGCTGAATCGTGGGCATAACCCAAAGCATTGGAAGTTCCCAAATTTTGCTTCTTGTTTTGTGAGGATGTCGACCCTTTATATCCATGAGAACCCTGTCTTTTTCCCTTCCAATCCAAGTACCAGTTGTGATTAGCCTAATTACCTTTTGACATGATGGCCCTATCCAAAACATCCACATATTTCTGCAACTTCAACACATTGATCTTTTCAAGAATAGAGTCTCGGAGTCCTCTCTCAAACTTTCTCGCCTTCTTATAGTCTGTATCAACCATGTATGGTGTGAAACAGGCTAGCTTGGTGAATTGTACTTCATACTCCGCTACAGTTTTGTTGCCTTGCTTCAAGTATTCAAACTCCATCACCTTCCTGTCTTGAATACATTGTGGAAAATACTTCTCATAAAAGACCTCCAAAGATTGAGCCCAATTTATCCCTTGATGTTCGGCTCGAACAAGCATCCACCAATGGCGTGCTTTATCCTCAAGTGTAAAAGCAGTAAGCAAGACTTTTTGTGCCTCCGTGCATGGAAAGACCTCAAACAATTTCTCTATACCAAGTACCCATGCCTGCGCCTTCAGTGGATCAATTCCTCTCTTGAACAATGGCGGTTTCAACTTTTTAAATTCCTTTGTTAGTGCAATAGTTCGGTCGTCAGCTTGTTGGTCTTGTACTACCGGTGGTGGCGAAGGCATTGGTGGCGGTGGTTGTTGTTGTTACCGTTGCTATCTAAAAGCCTCTACCATGTCTATGATCATTGCCTCCATTCTATTAAGTCGTGCATAGGTTGAATCCTCCCCACCTTCTTCCCTTGTTCTCACCATGATATAGAGGAACATACATTATAACTTTCACAAATAATATGCACATAAGACATGTTAATGCACATTTTCATGTCATACTTGATAATAAATGCATTATGGATGTAACTTAGACGTTTTCTAAACTCCTTATTGCTCAATGGACTCATATGTAAGATATTAACTCATACTCTGATACTACTTTGTCATGACCCAAACTCGCCCCTAAAAGTATAGATCATAACTAGCCAGTAATCACTTGATTACCTTCGCCCTCATACAAACATATAAAGTAAATCTAATAATGGGGCCATAAACGGAAGCATACAACAAAAGAGAAGTCCATTGAATTATGCCAATATGAGAAAAATTATAAAGTTAACCTCATATACATGGCCATGCAAAAATATTAGTACCATAGGAAATTTATACATATCGTATACAAACCCAAGACCATAGTAGAAAAAACAAAATGAAGTCAAAGTATGGTGTGAGTCAAAGAAAACACTCCATCTTGGAGGCATGACTCGACAAGGTCAAAAAATAAGCTCTTGAAGCTAACTTTTAAGGATGGGCTCCATGTTGCGGATCACCTACATGTGCACACATAATATTGGGTGAGCGAAGCTCAATGATTAATAATACAGTGAAACAATATAAACAGATGATCATAAGGTCCATAATCATAATACGGAACGACCTTGGGCCCAATATGACATGGAACGGCCTTGGGCCCATCATATAAACAAAACGGCCTTAGGCCCATTATATAAATAAAATAGCCTTGGGCCTCATTATATAAACAGAACGGCCTTAGGTCCATCGTATCAAAACGGCCTCAGGCCTGCAAAGGTACAGAACGGCCTCGTGTCCACATATTAACAACTGTTCAGAACGACATCGGGTCCAATAACATATGATTATATCATTAACAGAACGGCCTCGGGCCCACAGAACAACCTCAGGCCTAAACACATTATAGCATAAAGAAAACAACCTTAGGTCCATATTGCACATGTCATATAACTTTTGTGAATTTCATTCATTTCGATCAAAACATAATGTTGGTACAAATTGCCTTTCATGGTTCAAAGTAATCAATTAAGATTATGTCTTTAAAATACTATTACTCACAGTGCATTTGATCTAGTGGCATTTCCTCCAGCACACGACTTACACAAACATTTCACACACACATTTGGTAAATCATTTGTTCAATTCGTACTCTTTTCTTTCATAATTCACAACCTTCTTTAATGAGTTTCTAATAATCATTTTACTCCCAAAAGGTTTAAATAAAGTTGGGAATACGTCTAGAAGGTTGAGAGCATCGATACAAGAAAGCAGGGATTTCTCCCTTGCCTGGTTGCACGTGCAGCCGGTATAACTGCTCGAGCGGTCTGGTTCCACTTGTGTGGAAGTGCTAGCCGCTCGAGTGAGCAAAATGCAACTCACCAAATTTATGCATGCTCTGCTCGTGCAGAGCCCGTAGCTGCATGAGCAGTCTAGGCACACCTAGACAGTCTAAAAATGGCACAAAAATGTAAACTTTCCAAACTCATTTCCAACCTCAAATTCATGCAAAACCAACCCCAAACATGATATACTAGCATGATTCAAGTGTAATTCCAACTCAAATACATCAATCTTGTTCCAATATCAAATTCATCGTTTGAACTTTTTCATTCATTCATACATTATATACACGAGTTCAATATATATACAAACATGGTGATTCTTCCAACAATTCTTGGTTATATGAACCATGTAGGGTTTATTTCATGGATTAATCATAAGAATGAACTCAAATCAAGCAAATATGAAGAGATTAGAGTTCAATTACATACATTTAGCTCTAGCCAATACACAATTCTAAACTCTAGCTTAAAATTCCCAATTCCTTCTTAATTCTATGACAAAGATGAGTTAAAGACAAGGATTGTAAGTAAATTAACATACCTCAACTCAAATCTAAGGTTTGCCCCTTGATTCTCTTCAAAATCCCTAGCTTTACTCTTCCTCTCTCTCTAGCTCACTCTCTTGAGCTCTCAACCGAGAATGAAGAACAAAAGGCTAAACACATGTATAACCCAACTCATAAAACATGGTTTGATTATTACGAATCATAATTTTTTTAAAATTTCACTGTAAGCTCTATAAATCATGCTAATCATAAATATGAAGTCGGTTTTGGTTTATCACGCCTCTAAGACTTTCAATTTTTAGTTCAAAGTTCCAATTACAACAAATATTCCTACATTCAATAAATATTATTCCAAATTTACATATTTAAACTTGCAAATTCATATCAAATGCATAATCACATGTATAGTTAAGCATCAGATGGGTTGGGTTATCACAATTAGCGTTGGAGATAGGAAACATGGGTTTGGATTACCCTTTTTTTTTTCATTGTTAAATCACCCAATTCAAACATTGATTCAAAAATGAAGATTCATCCACATGAAAGATTTTTACATAATTTAGCTTGGGGATTGATTTTTCATTACAACAAAAGAGAAGACACAAAATTTAAAAACAAAAGATGCTTGGCCAAAATGCCAAAACCAAAACCATATATACATATTCTTGTTATTAGACCAACAGGATCGAACCACAGCTAGCTTCAAAAAGAAGAGAAAAACAAAAGAAACCCAATCCCTGTCAAAACCCATAAGACCAAGTTGTTCATCTTCCACTCTTAAGACGATGGTTGCGGAAATAACTAGCTCGGTCATTCTCAAAATCTTTCCTAGGGATGTGAGAGGCCCCTCCTGATCCTGGTGCGACCATCAGTTTCTTGTTACCCTTTTGTTCTTCTGAGCCAGATGATGATGCTAGCATAGCCAGGCCCGACCCCACAAGAACCACCCCTACAACAGCAGCAGCAGTAGCAGAAGCCACTGACTTCTTCGGAGTCCCACTTTCACCATTGGAGGAGCTTTGGGTGCTCTCACTACTGCCCATTATGCCCAGTAGTAGTTGTTCACTCTGTCTCTTTCTTTTAATTGCCCTGCTATTTGTGATGAATTGGGAGAATGCAGAGAGTGGTTGGTTTATAAAGGAAAATATCAAGAAGATGAAAGCTATGCCATGTTTAGTAGAAATCTCAAAAAGCACTTCAAGAAAAACAATTATGGAGAAAGAAAACCTTTCAAAAAGGAGTACAACAAAGACTACAAAAGAAACAAGAAGGCCATGGTAGCAGCTTAGGGAGAAAGTGAAGATGAAAGCTCAAGTGATGAAATTGAAAATGAAGTAGCCAACTTGTGTCTCATGGCTCTTGAAGATGAAGACTCTACTCAAGATGAGGTAACTACTCTTTATGAATAACTTGAAAGTGCATTCCATGAACTATAAGATGAATTTAGAAAAGTTTGTGTCAAAAATAATGTCTTAAAAAAATCTGTTGTACCTTTATCTAGTAATGTAGAATAATAAAAGAAATAAAAAATTGTTTTGAAAAATGATTTTGACACCATCTCTAATGAGAAAACTGCTTTAAAAAACAATGTTGATGATTTAACAAAAACACTTGAAAATTTTGTAAAATGTAGAAATAATCTCAACATGCTTCTTGGAAATCAAAGATGTGTTTTCAATAAATCGGACATTGGATATAACCCTATTAAGAAACAAAAGAATCTCAATACAATTTTTGAAAAGGCACCTCTCATGACACACCCTCATATTACTTGTCATTATTGTAGAAAGAAAACATAGCGATCCCGGTTGTCCCTTTACTGTTCTGTTGTATTCCGGATTCGGTTCCGTGGAGTTGGTAGTTGTATACCTTGTTGTCATCCTTTAATTCCACTTGATTGAGTTTTAGGATGTGTTGGGCAGAGTTGTTACAGGTTGGTTAGGCTTTGATTTCAATTCTTTGTTGCCCAGTTTTTAGGAGGTCCGCTCGAGCGGGTCTTCTTGCGCTCGAGCGAAGATTGTACACTTCCAGTTTTTCGTGTCCCTGCAAAAATTCTTCAGGTGTGATTTTTACGCTCGAGCGAGTTTCTTTACGCTCGAGCGGTAGCGCTCAAGCGTGTCTTCTAGAGCTCAAGCGGGTAGTACTTTTTGGTGTAAGTTCTGGGAGGGGGAAATCTACGCTCGAGCGGACTGGTTTTCGCGCTCGAGCGGATGTACTTTATTCTTGTGTCTTGGAGCTCGAGCGAGTCTTATTACGCTCGAGCGTACCTAGTTTTTTGTTCTTGACGCTCGAGCGTTGTGTTCCCCGCTCGAGTGGGAATGTCGTATATCAGTTGGCCGCTAGGCATTTTAAAATCACTTTTTTCATTCTCTCTCTCTCTCTCTTACTTTCTAAAAAGCATTTTTGAGGGCTCCTCTCTCTAGAAACTCCCTTCTCTCTAGGGTTTGATCTAGTTAGAGTGTCTCTCTATCCTCCGGCCTTTGTAAAAAGTGTGTTGATCGTCAAAGGCTTCGCGTTGATCCGAGAATCGTAGTGTTTGGAGCATTTTCACTTTCTTCTCCTTCTCCATTTGAGCTCTAACTTCGAGGTAGGGACATCCTACTCTTTCTCATGAGTTTTGTCTTTGAATTTTAACATTTTGATGAGTTGGGGGTTGTTGGGTAATTTTGAGAAAGTTTGGGCCCTTGTGTAATTTTACAATAGTTGGGGTTTTGTTTATATAAATGTATATGCATGTTTGGCATAGAGAAATGAGATCAATATTGGTCTATTGGTAAAGAAGTGGAACCTTAGGGTTGTGATGTTAATTATGAGAAATGTCTAATTACATTGATGAATTAATTGGTGAAATTAATTTGAAGAAAAGAGGAATTAGGTTGAGAGTGTTGGAATTGGAGGTGTATGGGATTAAGGGTGTAGTTAGATTTGTTCATCGCTCACCTAGTTGAAATGTTGATTATATGTCCACATG